TCAAAGGTGTTTAGTAGATCTAATTTTTAAGGACACATCTATAATATTATTTAAAATATATTTAACTAATTAAATACAAAAACACATTGGTTTTTCGGTTTGGTTCAGTTAATTTGCCCACCCCTAATTGTGAATCCAAAAAAAAATTATTATTCACAAATGAATCGATGTGAAAGATAAAATTCGCAGAAAACGATAAAAGAGTGAGACAAAAAAAAATACAATCAAACATCATTTATTTTTCCTTATAATTTAAAGTTCTAACAAAATATAACACAAAGATGCATTCCAACATCTGTTGAGACAATGCAGATTTTTCGATAGAAACAAAACATACTACAACTTGTCTGATCAATAATTTTTTATTACAAACGTATTCGATGCAAAAAAAAAGACGACCAATCATTTTTTTAGAGAATCATAGTGAATATTGATAAAGACATACAAGTTACGGATTTGTGCAAAAGAAGATATCTTCTATATGCATACGCTGTAATTTTTATTAATGAACAGTTTATTTCTTTTTGAAATATTAAATACAAAATAATCAATAAGCAAGATTTGTTACATATTTTACCATGTTAATTTTTAAATCCACGCAACGCGTGGGCAATCTCTAGTTGAAAAATATTTCAAGATTTTTCTAATCAAAATACAAAAGAGAGATCTTATCTAAAACTCTCGTATGATTGATAATTTTGTGTTTATTTTTAAAATCTTATGTTATTGAATCACTGATTTGAAATACATGATATTCGAGTAAAAAACTCTAATTAAAAAGAAAATAATTTTTAAGTAAATATCTTGTACTTATTCACCAAAAAAAAAGTAAATATCTTGTACTTTTGAAAATCTTTATAAAAGTTTAGAAATATTGTAAAAGAAAATAATTAATATGGATTTAAATTTTCTTAAAATACACATACCAATAAGCTTCCTATCAATGAATATACTGTCATTATTTTATGGATTTTCTCCATTAAAATATAAAAGGGCAAAACATGGTATATCCCTAATAATTTGGAAATCTATAATAAATGATATATCCTTATCAAAAACAAAATCTTGCTAAATTTGAAGAAATGTTTGCATCAAAAGCTGCATATTCTGATTCTTTAGATCTTTGCTCATTCAAGATCCATCCAAAAACACCCTTATGCTAAGAAGAACAATAAAAATGTGATCTCTCTTTTTTTTGTTACCTTGAAATCACCATCTATGATCATCCCAACGAGGCAGAAACAACTAGCAGCGAGACTCATAACCATCTGAATCTCGAGTACAAGTGTGTAAGTGATTTCTTGTCGAGCTTTTTTGTAAGTTAGCTCAACGAGCGGCAAAATAAAACCATAGAGAATAGCTGCAATAAGAGTCATAAGGAACCCAATCACATACTGTTTGTAGGTCACGTGAGCCGGCCTGTCTCCATCGGCGTGCGATGCAAGGACTCCGCAACCGATCGTCAACAAAACGACGGCGTTTATAGAGAAAGGAGTGAACTTTTGCTTGACCATGAAGAAAGCGAAAATAGCATTGAAAGCTAACTGAGTTCCAACTATGAGAGACGAAGTGGAAACTGGCAAGTAAGCTAATCCGTATGCGTATAAGTAGTTGTCAAGCCCTAAGAGCAATCCAATGACGCTTGAGGCAATGAACAGAGGAGTTTTCATGAGTAAAATCCCTTCCCTTTTCGTGTTTTCTGCGGTTTCGGGTTCGGTTTCAG